GTCCAACCGTGACGATCCACTTCTTCACACAAAGCGGTTCAACACCTTTGCCGAAGCGGCAACACATGGGTGGTAGCACAACTGTGGATGGCCCAGCGGCGTCCCAACAGGTGTCCCCACGGCCAAGCGGCTGACATGTTACAAGAGACTGCAGCAACATAGGTACGTCACACAGTTCGTCTGCCAAACACCCAGATCGAAGATGGTGGATTTTCCTGTGGTGAGAGATGATCACGGTAGATCCACCAAAACGAAACGCTTCGGGCATGGCAGTCTGCGTGGAACCAGGTGAAGACATGTGTCAAAACCCAAAAGTATCAACTAAGTCAGTCATGTATTTCTCAATGTGCATTGCTACGCAGTTAAACAGCGGACTAGAAGCAGGAGTGGGACACACTGTCCATCTCATCACACTTCCCTCCATCGCACCACCTCCGTCGCCCCGCGGCCACCTCCGTCGACTCTTGCAGCGCTTCCGGGTGCAAGCCTCGGCCGCCGGAACGGACCGCGCGGAGCAGAAAGGCTTGGATTGGCGGAACTGGGTCAAAGGTAAAGATGTTTTGGAGGGGATTGACCTGGTCAGACCAAGGAAAAAGGTCATGTCTGGTATACACATGGTTGGAGTGGGAGATGGGGTAGTCCCATATGATGATTGACCCGGACCCCAAAATCTAGCCACCCCAGACCACACCAGAAAAAGGATGAAAAAGGTTCGGTCTCCTGGTTCTCAAGGGTGTTTGAGCAGTTGCGCCCTCTTGCAGGTGTCCGTGACCTGTGACGTCGAGTGGTCAAACTATGACGTTTTCACTTCGGTAACTAAGGTAAAGCTCAAGGAAAAGCTCTCATCCTCAAAGAAGGGAAGAGACTATGAACAGTCGTTCAGGTAGTCTTCAGTACCCCCTCGAAGTCCAAGCCACTTTAACGAATGGTCTTCCGGTTGCCGCGAGTTCAGGAAGTTCCTCTACTTTTCACAGTGGGGCGTCCCAGACCTCTATTCTATGGAGGGCGTCACAGGTCGCCCTCGTTGGCTCCGTGTCTGCGCCGCTCAGGTCGCGCCTCGCGGCCAAACGTTCGCTCGGAGCCGTCGGATCTCCTCGATCATGTCATCGAAGCTCTGACCTGTTGGAGATCGCAAGGCAAAAGGGGACCGGGGAACGCGGGATCTGAGTGATCTGAGGCCGTTCTCGACATGTTGAGCAGTCCCGCGAACATCTGAGATCCTTTGGTCTTCTTCGGGTATATGTACAATCACAATCAATCACATACAGTATATGTTAGCTCCCGAGAAGGTACCGCTTGAATCCGCTTGATACTCCAAGCAGGGCCACAGGAAGTCCTCGTTCGATGACGCTGCAGTTCGGAAACTCTGCTCCATGCGCCGCAAAACCCCGCAAATAAATGATGTAACATGTAGTGTTGCGTTATGTATAGCAGGCTGGAAAGGGGCCCTTCGCTACGAGTACAAATCAGATCAAAATTTTCTCCACGCGCTCTCTCTCTCTCTCTCTCATTCATCTCTCATCTCTGTATCACTATCAGTTGTTCATTTACAATTACTACGTTTCTATACGTTTCTCTCAATTGACCTTTTGATCCACGAACGCGTGGCCACCCTGCCATACCCTGCCACCGTGCCTATAGGTGCTTGGAGCTCTTGGGGAGGGCTGGGCGCGCGCACCTTGGGCCATGGCGAGGCCCACTGAAGCGAGCGCTTGGGCACCTCGCTTCAGAACCACCCACCGCTGAAACCCCCTCTGGACCATGGTCTTTGACGGTGTCTAATTGGTGGTTTGACAAGTGGTGCAAACTGTCTCGACTCGGGTCTTCGAAATGTGTCTGTGACAAGTCTGGTCTTGATGTGTCTTGATAGATCGGGGACCCTTCCATGTCGCTTGTTTCAATGTGTTTCATGTTGTTTCTGCACCAGGGACAACCGACTGGAGGGTCCACTGGACCCTCCAGTCGGTGGTGCTGCAGACAGATGCCAGTCCTTGGATTTGTGATGCCATGGCTGCCATGGCATCACGAAACATCCCAATCTGCCCTTCCAACGGATGAAACACCAGGATCCTCTACGCTCCACCCAGTTCACTCCCCCCCTCCACCTAGGTGTGAGAGAATGAAACTGAATGTTCCTTCCTCCGCCCTCGCGTCCTCCGGCGTCCGGGCCGTTCATCCTGGGCTTCCAAACCACGCGGGGCGACCTGAGGGCGTTCCGTCCGGGACGTGGCGAGGGACGTGGGACGCGACGGCTCTGGGCTGTTGAAGCAAGGAAAGGACGTGTCCCTGAGCAGAGCTGGGCCATGTCATGTCCAGGTCTGACAGGATTTTGAAGATCATGAAGATCTATATCATGGTCCAACTACTGTAAGTTGTAGGCTTGGCAAGCTCGACAACAGGTCCAGTGCCAGCACTTGTGAGGTGAAGACTACTCTGACTCACCTTCCATGGCAGTGGATGTGGATGGTTTTGTTGGAAGCCCACTTTCCTCTACCAACAGGTAGTGCCCACATCCATCCGATGTGCGAACATCAGTGTATCGGCTCCATCCACATGCGCCGCTGGTTCTTCGGCCCTCGCTGCCTTCGCGCCGCCGCCATGGGGGTGACCTGGATCCAGTGTGTCACGGCCAAAGCGGAGACGCCGCTGGGGGTGACGAGGAGACCTGGGTGAAAATTCCAGCTTCTTCAGCCACATGGGCTCCGTTTGGGGTGCTTGGAGCTATTTTTTGGTGGGGAATGATCGCGATCATTCAAATCCAGCATATCTGAATGGATGGTGACATAGTAGAATCATCAAAGGCTTGTCCATGAAAGCTTCTTAGTATTGGGTATATAGTCAGTCCATCTGGTGGCCATTACAACGATGTCACCCTGCTGGCTTCAAGGCCGGCAAAGAGAATCACCATCGAAATCATCGCTGCTCGGCTCAATGAAATTGATGATGGAATCATGCAGATAATAGTATTCATGTTGAATCGCGAATCATCTTCAACCAGTATCGGTTTCCGCGTCCGCGGGAGTGCTGTTGTCGTACACGGAGTGAGCCCCGTCGGGGGCACCTTGGAAGCCACACCTTCTGAGCCCTGAACTATGCTCGAAGGTACTCGGAACTAGGTAGGGCAACTGGCTGGACAGTGGCATCGGCTCCCACCCTGCCCTGGAGCCCTCTGAAATCCAGCCACTGGATCATACTGGACCCACCAAACACAATCAATCTTCCCTCTAGGTCGAGAATGCGGGAGTTCCTTCCTTCAACAGCTGGGAAGTCTTGGGCGCAGCGTGACGGACTCGCCTCATAGCCGAAGCTTCGCCAGGCCATGCCGGGCAGCCTCGCGACTCGGTCGCGAGGAAACGCCAGCCCTCCTCCGCTCCCAGCTTGGAGCCTTGGACTGTTTTGTTTGATAGCTTTTCACTGAACAGCCATTGCTTTACTAAGGGTACTAAGGATTTCTGTGAATAGTCTTGGAAGGCAACAACATGAATCTCTACAAGACTCTACAACTATACTGCCCACTACTGCCCACAAATTGTCTGGTTGGGATGAGGTCATGTGTCTTTTTTTGGGGGCGGGATAACTTAGAAACCGTTGGAAGCCCATTCTATGAGTTCTATGGTGCCCCACGAGCACCTACAGGGCTTCCCCACCCACCTCTCACCCATCTCCCGCCTCGGTCATGAGGCTCACTCCGCATCCGCCCCGTCCGCCCCCCGCCGCACCCGTTCCAGCGGTCAAGTCTTTGGAGCTTCGCTTGGAGTGGCAGCGGTGGAGCGAAACGCTTGGACCGGTGCTTCGCGGCCGTGTCTTTTTCGACTGCTGAGGGGTTCAGGGAACTGAACGACCATCTTCCGCAAGCCAGTTCGGTGGGTGGGAAGGGGAAGAGGAGAACATGTCCACTGGAATTGTCCCAAGATCGGTGCTTGCGGAGCGAACCCGATGTCTCGGTGGCAAAACTGGCAAAAAGACCCAAAACTAGCCTTGTTGGACACCCAGCGCATGAGCAAACCTTCCTCGCAGCTCCCTCTCGCTCTCTTTCTCTCTGTTTTTCTTTCTTTCTGTCTTTCTTTCTTTCTTTCGTTCGTTCTTTCTTTCTTTCTGTCTTTCTTTCTTTCTTTCTTTCTGTCTGTCTTTCTTTCTTTCTTTCTTTCTTTCTTCAAAGTCAAGAACTGCAGCGCAGCCGTCCGATTGCCAGTTTCACCCTCCTTTTTCCTGCAAACATGTCGTCTGCTGCGCCTCTCTTCCCCCATGAATCACCACGCAGGGACCCTCACTGCACATCTGTCAAGCCAGTAGAAGGCTGAAAGGCTAGACGCTGATCGGCTACAGGGATCTGGGCCAGGTCTTTTCGCATGTGCAACCCTTCGGTCAAGAGCCTGGTTGGTTTTCTGGCTCACAGACTGTGAGACAATGGAGAGCTCGGATCGGCATCAACTTGGGTGATTGTAAGTCTGCAAGTGTTGGGAAATATATGATTATGAAGTATATATACGGTCAAAATTCATTACGTGCGGCTGTTGCATCGTCATAGTGAGTCCCACTGTTTTGGAACCTCGTTAAAGGGTATCGTTTTTTTGAGTCCCCTATCGTTCGCCAGGGTTTGGAGCATGCCAACATATGAATGCAACGCCCTTATTAAATGCCATTGTCATCATCCCTGACATGAAGGTTCGTGAATTTGAAACATACCCAGCGCAGCCCTGGAATTCCCGTCTGGTGTCAACTTGGCAAAGCTGTCTACTTGGCCCATTCCCACATGCCTTGGTCTTGCATAAAACTGCAGGCCATGATGCTCAACATCATGAATTGGCCTCCCACATCTGGACACCGACACCTCCCACATCTGACCGCCCTATCACGCGGCCAAGGCCTCCACGCCAATTCAATGAGAAAGATTCAACAAAAAAGAGCTCCTACAGTAAGTCCTCTGGCTAAATGGATCACCACTCAAGAGACCACTCTTCATGTCCACTGAGGCTCTGAAATCGGCACAAGGACCTCTTTTAGGCTGCCACTTCACGTTGGGACGCTGTTTCAGTGGCCTTCTCCTGGAGGGATCAGGAGGAAATCCAAGTCCACGCGGGAAAAATGACAAGTCGCATCTTCCAGTCGCAAGTCGCATCTTCCAGGTGGTGAATGAGATGTCTGTTGCTGCTGGGGGCCCGGTTTCAAGCTTGCCCAGCTTACTCCCAAGAATCTGGACCACACACATCCATCATCTGGAAAACCCCATGAAGGAGACGGAGAAAAAAGACACGGCGACGAACATGGCGAAGAAACAATGACAACGAATAAGACCACCACCACCATCCACCACCACCACCACAACAACAACAATAACAGCAGCACAATCAACAAGCACGACCAAAACAGCAAGCCAAATAGCTGAGTTGCTGATCCCCAACCCACGGCAGCGGAGGCAATCGACTGCCTCATGTAACATCTCGTGCATTATCGGCTTCACTGGGACAAGAATGGAGATCATCCAACCCCAGACCATCCATGTATATCCATGTGTGAGATAGTTACCTACATTGCAGTCTTACATGGGGTAAATGATGGTAAATGTATGTAACTATTCCATGTACATGGATGGCCTGGAAACTGTGACTGTGCCAATCACACCCCTGTGACGCAAAAAAACGCACGTTGCCTCCTTCAACGCGAAGAAAGTGAAACGGTACCCGAATCCATCGCGTTGGCGAAGAAATCGACTCGTCTTTTCTCCTCAGTGGCCTCGGTCTCTTCCACTGCCTGCACTCGTACGTGATCACAAGGACGGGAACATTTGCCGGCATGTTTTTCCTCATACAGCGTCCCGAACAGCAGTTTTGATATCCATTTTACACCCAACAACTGCTAACTAATTTTGCGGGCAGAATCTAGCTGCAAGCACAGGGAGAAGCTCTTCAAGTATACGACCCTGCAATGGCCACGTTGCCACCTTGAGATCGAAAACTCGTGCTGTGCTAGGGTCATTTGGGTATAATCATCATGGTAACCCAATCAATAGCAAAGGGCCTTTTACCGTGGAGTGTCTACCGGGACGTTGCAAACGACTTGAGAGAAGTCACACGAAGAACGAATCCACCCTACTAGTAAGAATCATTGGACCCTCCAAACTGGAGGGTCCAATGACCCTGCAGGTTCCGCACGGGGGCGACCCGAACCAAACCTTCACCGAACGGGTCGGGTCCATTGGGCAAAAAGCCTGGGACCTACCCCGCAAGTGTGGTCGCTGCACCAAGCATCGCTCATCTGACCGTCCAAAAAACGGATCTGTCATCTGATCTGCAACGCAACGCGCCGTGAAACGGTACCCCGCCTTTCGCTTCTTGCAACGCACCTTCAGTTCCTGCTGTTTGGGGCTGACAGCTGAGGTGGATATTTTTTTTCTGGGCCTTAAAGGGCCACTGGGAACCTCAGAGGGCAAGCATCCGCAAACCGCAAACGGTGGTCCATTTCAGGCAGGTGTCCCATTCCTTCCGTAGAGCATCGAAGTGCTCTGAAACCGAATGACGGGTTCTTGAAGCAATTGAATGTCCATGGATGTTCATGATCGATATTCCTTGGCAGTAGGTTTTCCAGGCTCCGAGAGGGTCTATGCAGGATGATTATGGCTATATACTATATGAAGGCCTGTCTAAACTCAAATGATATTTTAATTCAAGCAAATTATATGTATACAGATTATATACATCATTATTGACAGACTGTTGCAGTGAATGGAGGTAGACCCAACTCGTAGTTCACTCAACTTCAGCAAAGGAACGTTGCAAGACTCAAGACCACGTTTCTGTGAAAACCAGCTGTCCTATCCAAATTTCAATAAGATATAATAAGATCAATAAGAGTCTATATAATTAACTAATTGTTATCAGAGGTCCTGCCGAAACAGGCCAGGGCCACATTAAACGCAGGAGCATTCAGAAGTTCCTTGCAAGGAGCCGTTCCTTTTACGCCCCGGCGAAGGATAAGCACCAGCAGAATACCTCTCGAAGCAGCAACCCTCCGAGCCCGTGCATCGCCCCTTTCGGTGACGGAAGATTGAGGGACCTCCCAGGTGTCCCGATCCCTGAAAGTTTGGCACATCCAGTCTACCCAGCCAGGGCCACAAAGTCTCCCTATTCAAAATATCCAATCCACCCATCCATACGATCCGCGTCTCAGGTCGTATACCTTTTTCCACCAGAAATCCATGCAGCGATGCAGCACAGGGTCCCCCTGTGCCCTCCTGAAAGGTCGCCAAACTTCCATCCACAAAGGCTTGCAGCTCGGCCTGGGACGGAACATTTGCGGGTAGGTCGCCGGCCGTCGGGATGTCAGACAGTCCAAAGATGCATGACCTGAAGACGCATTGAATTCCAAGACCTCCTCATGAAATGGGACCCAAGACGAAGTCCATCCATCTTCCAAAAGGCAAAGATTTACAGATTTACAGTATCTTGGGCTCAGACTCTGGCGGAAAATCCGAGTGGCATATTGGATCTTTAACCTCCTAGGCCCCCCCGAAGAACCTTTGCGTCGGCCATCAGTAATTAGAAGGGCGGGGCGCGGCTCGCGCCCCAGCTCCCACATAGCACACACCAACAGGCCAACTTATCGTGTAGCCTTTAGACTGAAAGTGACTGAAATCCAGCTGGCCTCCTAACCCGCCAGCTCAGGGAAGTCATCTGCAGCATCAGATGCATCAGGAAGTCCAAAACACCCAGAGACCATCTCCAAACCATTTGGAGGAGGACAAACCGGTTTCAATTGGACAGCCCCAGTCGACCGGAGCAGTCATCTCCCAACCGACCCACTGACTCGGGCCGCCCACCATGGGCGGCCCACCCGCCATGGTCAACCCGCCACAACCACCTGGGCCGACCTGTTTTTCGTCCCGGGTCTTCGTGGCGGACTTGTATTCCGTCTTGTAGGCCTCGTTTTGGGCGAAACGTCCCCGCGCGGACGTCGGGGGCCGGTCGGCCTGAGTGGCCCCGTTCGATGCATGCGCAATCATGTGGGCGAAACGGGCGAAACCATGGCGAAGGACCAACATGTTGGACGGAGTTTGGACGGTCAAAATCCAGGTCTGAAGTCTGACGTCAGCTCAGACTTCAGATGGTCTTCGGAGTCTTCAAGTTGCGAGCCTTCTGCAAAAGAAAGAGGTCCAACATACGTAGACACGCAGATTGAATCCTCTTGAATTGTATGCTTCTGGCGCCTACCTTGAAGTGGTGGGGCAACCTTAAAGCCTCAGGATGGCCACGGCAGAATCAGCGGCAAAGTGTTCTAGTTCTAGAAGCTTCATATACCTCTCCGAGGCCTTACCAGCAGCCCAACCAGGAACCCAAAAAACAAAAGCTCCCCTGAGGTGACTTGCACTAAGAGCGCCCTGCAACCCAATGGATCACAGGATGTCACAGGCGGAGCCAGGTATCACCAGTTCCGCAGAATAAACACAGCCATTACCTCGCTCCAAAGACGAAGTAAAACCTACCCAAGGCCGATCGCTTCCAGACCCACTCTGCACTCCGCACCGCACTTCGCACCGCGTTCGGTGCGAACGCGCCCTTCCCCGGTCCGGTCCGGGGCACTGCCACCGCTTCCTTCGCCTGGCTCACACCCTGCGTCGCCTCCTTTTGGGCCTTGGACCGAGGGAGAGCGTCGAATCGAGGTCGGCGGGATGTGGTCCGACTAGGCTCGATGGCATGGGGGCACCCCAATCGATGTCCTAGATGGGGGTCCATATGTTCACCACCGACATTGGGGTCTGTGCCATCGAGCCTCTGAAACCACTATAGATCAGTCCACGTGTTCAATTCTTTGGAGCCCTTCCAACTTCAAGTTCGCTCACCTGAAAAACGTGGAACAGTCTGACCCTGAGAGAACACTCCCCACCAACTGGAGAGGAGGGGTTCACTTCTGAAGAATGGGTCAAGACCAAGATTCGTCATTCATCTGATGGTTTTTTTGGGGATCAAACCTCAGCTCAGCTAACCGGTCACCAAGCTCCAGCCTCCTTGGCGGCGCACATGTCTTTCGTGGCCTGGGTCCGGAGGCGTCCAATTGTGGCGGGTGGCTGATGCCCGTGGCTCAGCAAAAAAACAAAAAACTCAAATCAAACAACCGTTTCAATTGGGTGAGGAGTGAGGGTAATCCACAAGAGATTCATCCAACCTCCGGACAACCAGTGCCTTGAATTTAGAAAAATTTTTCGGGTGTCGCCCCTCGCCCCTTAGAGGTTAGGGGATGTCCATTGACCACCCCTTGTGGACCCTGCGGAGGTGTATCTTCAAATTTCTTTGGGCGGAGGTGATTGGACTGAGCTCTGTGTGACGCGCCTGTGCTTGAGCCTCATCCGCTTGGGAGAGGTCCTGGCGATTTTGGATCCACGCCAAGAGCTGTCGATCCGCCTTCCGTCACCAATGGGCTACGACCCAGTGCCCCTTCCAAACTCCACCCACATACAGAGCGAGTCCGGTTGGGGGGTGGTGTGGGGGGGAAGATTCGGCTGTTCCAAGTGCGAAAAACATCCCTTCGGCCCAAAAACACAGGGGAGTTCCCCTGGAGCAACTAACATGGAACTGGACACGCCCCTGTTTGGTGTTCGGAACATGGTCCACTTGCATGTGAGTTCCAGGGTGTGTAAAGGTTATATATCCATTCTAAAATAGATATACATGCACACACACGCACAGATATATGTATATATATATATACATATTATTTCATTAATATTAATATGTATATCATGGTCATCCACTCTTCCTTGTGTCTCCACCAGGTCCGGTGCTCTGCCATCGTCCTGCTGGGCTCCGTCCACCACCTCCTGCCGCTGCGCGGCACCGGGTTGTGCCGCCTGGATGGCGGTGCTCAGCCTCAGACTCCGAGGCCAGGGGAGGCACGGAGGGACGTGCCGCCCTTCCCAAGCACCATTCCCTACAAATCCAGTCGTACCTTCTCAGAAGGTATGATTGGATAAGAGTGCCGAACACATCACCTCCTGAGAAGGTACAAGGGATTGAGGTTGGCAAAGATTAGGATGGTTTCAGGATTTCAGGGTCAATGTTGGCCTATGGCTGCCAGGGCCAAAATCCGGACCCCTAATCGCTGGTCTCGTTCGCTGCGTTTTGTTATTTCTTCTGTTTATGGTGTGATGTGGATCCAGGAAAAGCTGCACGCCTTCAGGAGTCTCGTTGATCCTACAAACACCCTGGTACCCCTCCTCGAGTGGTGCCGAAAAAAAAGAACAAATCTCGATCGGTGGTCCAGCAGGGTCCCCAGTTTTCCTATTGGAGTGCTTGGGTGGGAAGGCTCCTTTTTCAATCAGGACATGGGCCCACCCTCAACTGATGGAGATGGGCCCAGTCTGGAGGAAGAGATGGGCCAAATCTGTGCCTTTAGCCATTCCCCACCCTGAGTGGGTAGAGCCCACACCGTGCTCAGCCCACACCGTGCATGACATGTGGCCACCCAAGTATATCAGCATCTCAGCGCTTCTTTTCATGGGGCCCTCTGGCAGGAAAATGCTCGAATCAGCTGATTGCCAAAGCCAAGAGCTGGCAGGATTCACAGGATTCCGGTTCTTCCAAAGAACCAAAATGATCCAAAATCCCACATTCCTGGATTAAACAATTTCAACAAAACCCCTAACCAGTCCGTTGATCCTATTTGAGGGCAAAGTTTTCTCGGAGCAAACCCAACCCCCAAAGATTGGAGATTTGGGTTGCAAAAGCACATGTTTTTGGCCCCAACCTTTCAGGTGAATCATCTGGTCTTCTCCTATCGGGACGAGCCAGGGAGCTCCGAGATCTTTTTGCTGCCCAAGAGCTCCGAGATCTTCGACTCAAAGTTCTTTTCCAATTCATCCAGAACCTAGCCCAACTCGGTAAGGCCGTGCTCGCACACCGAGTCGCACGTGACGGTGGTGTCATGGTGTCGGCGGTGAAGAAGCTGGTCCGTTGTGTTGAAACTCCCCCCCCCAGAAAAAAAAGAAACTGTATCAACAATATGTCACAACAAGAAGACATATCGAAGCGGCCTTCGCAATACAAACCACCTCAGAGATTCCTAGTGATTTCCTTTCGTTCCCTTTTGGGGGGATGGGTAGGGTGTTCCAAATCCACTTCCAGTTCCGATGCCCGTGCGATGCAATACATCAGTCACATTTGCACAGTTGTGTGTTTTGTATGTTTTTCTCTATACCAGGGGGGGGAGTTCCAGTTCCAGTGGGGAACACTGTGTCTTTATCAAAGCTCGTATCAAAGTTCTTGATGAAAACTGCACTCAAGACCCTCCATAGCAGGCATCTAGCCCTCCATAGCAGTGGTCTGCACCTTCAACTCAAAAACATTAGGCTCTAGGTCGGTGTTTGAGGGTACAGATCCTTGGGGTACACTGACACAGCTCAACTTTGCGGATTTCTGGCGCAACGCGATCTATTGGGCAGCCAGTGTGCTTGCATGTACCGTACGCTTCCTTGCTTGCTTGCTTTTGGGCTGCCTTGAAAGCTCAAACATCATCAACAAAATCCCTCGAAAAACAACAGTTTGAGCAACACGTCTCAATCCCCCTTTGTTCTCAGCTCAGCCCTCCATCTCCCACAGCTGACCGCTGCTCCCGGCGCACCGTGCCATCAAACACCCCGCGCTCGCTGGGCGGGCGGGTGAGCACACCGGGGATGGCATTGCGTAGGCTTTGGTCCATCACTAGGAGCTTCAGCGAAGGCCTTGGCAATCCATAACTGGGGGACAGGAGGAGCGCGCAGAGCGAACAGAACGACCAGAAGGCGAAGAGCTAGGAACTTTGATGTTGGAACATTCGGTATTTCAATGTATTTCAGGTGGTGCAGGAATGTGCAGGATAGGATGTTGACTGTCTTAAACACGTTATATAATTGAAGTTCAATATGTTCTGGGAGTCCAGGACCATTGTTACCATGGTCTTGCTCTGGACCATTTTTGGTAACCAAGTGGCACCATGTGGCTCAGTTGTTTTGATTAAAACTGCAGAATTGTGCGAAATCTATCAACATTGCTGCCCCGAATCTCCAATCCAGGAATTCGGAAATCACGGGCGTGGTTCCAGCACATCAGCTCAAGTGGTGCCAGTAGCTGCAAGAACTAATGGTGCAATGCTAAAATTGAAAAGAAAACACTTGCATGATGTTCCAATGTTTCTGTAAAATCCAGCTGGGGAATGACCCTAGTTGCTTTGAGGAAGCAAGCGAATCAAAAACGGGAGCGCAAGACTTATATACAGTAGTTGGCATTTGCTGTTAGGCGTGCAAGGATCTTATGCATCCCGATATGTCACATCCCAATGTTTACGCCTGTTTTTTTTGCATGAACGATTGAGGATTGGCGATTGATGAACATATTTGGGAACCATAGTCACCAAAGCCAATCATCCAGCCAGGTGACAACCACGTTTGTTTCCAGTTGGAGTCATGAATACTGTGTGCAGGTGGGTGTGCATCTGATTGGGTGGCACTTTTGAGGGCCAACCTCCCTCCTGCCACCATCTCTCCGCCTGCCACCACCAGGACGTTCGCCGGCCACGGGCCCCCAGGCTCCAGCTTCTTGAAAGCTGCCTTCACCTCTTTGTCTCCACTCAAGCTCCCCAGCTTCAAGGCCTCCAGCGGTGGGAGACCCGCTGTGACGGGAAGAGGGGACGATGGCGTGGGAGGTTCTTCGCACCTCTGGTTTCGGAACGTGTAGCACGGATGGAATCCTTCCGCACGCTGTGTTCGGAGTGCCAAGTGATGCATAGTTGGGTTTCAAGGCAGGGCGGCTGAGCCCTCACAGGCAACAGGAACACTTTCGTTCCACACCTTGAAGGGTCACCGTCTGCAACATCCGGGGCAAGCGGTTGCGGTGGGTGCGATGGGGTGCGGGTACTTCCCCTGGACGTCAACCCCGCAAAACGATGCAAAACTGCGATTGCGGCGGGAGGGGGTCGCTTCAGCACGCGATGTCATAGGACGCTTTAGACACGCGAAAAAAGGGGAGGCGGAGCAGGAGGATGAGGATGATGAGAATCAAACGAGCACATGAACGTTGGACAATTCTTCGATGTCACCCTCAGGGTGGCGGCACCCAACAGGGGGGGCCGCTGTACCAGGTTCTTCATCTCCATTCACGAAGAATCAGTCAGACTGTAATGGCTCTTCAGGTGACCCGAGTTCTTCAGGTGACCCCAGTTCGTTCCGTTCCAACTTCAGTCGGTCCAAGGACCAAAATCGAGCTGGAATGACGGGATGGGCGGTGGCAGCCGGGATGATCGAACTGACCGTCAGGTGGCTAACCGTGCGAAGCCTCAAAGCTCTCTTTCTTGGAGACTTCCAACAGATCCTCGCGGAGTGGATCGGCATCGAAGCCAATGAAAAAGGGGTGTCTAACGGGGCATCTACAAGATCACCTACTTCACCATGCTGCATGGTCAACTGGCTGCGCCCCAGTAGGAATAGGAGGGTGGCGATGTCATGTTGAAAGTACAGATGATTCGTGGTCGTCTTTTGCTTTTTATATCCTTGGTTGCCCTGGAAGGAGCCCGTGACTTCACAAACACCGTTTCGCACACTGCGGCTCTCTCCCAAAATGAGCTTTATAACCTTGCCTGAGCTGCCATGGAGCTGTTCTGACTTTTTGTCTGGGATGAGTATGAAAATTGGATCATTCCAAAATATTCCAAACACTCAGCACCATCTCCCAAATGTAAATGTGGGATACTACGGCGACAAGGCACCTGCTGGTTCCCTGCATTCCCTGCTGGTTCCCGGACAAACTTATATAGCGTTTTTTTGATTAGCTGCATAGCTGACCGCCTAACACACGTCTTTTCCCCAAAGGGCGTGTCCCACCAGGCAACCAAACTTCCGAAAAGCAATTCGCGGAATCAAACGAATGTCCAACAACAAGTGCAACAAAAATAAACATCCCACCTCAGCTGCAAAGGCGCCTTAGTCTCTTTCTTTTCATCCATTCTCCCACAATGCACTCTCCCATGTCTCCTTCTCAGCCACCACTTTCCCCAGCTCAGTCTCTCCTGTCCACCCAACCGTCTGTCGAGCCGAGTCGGCGATGACCCATCGCCCATGTGGAAAGAATGGGGTTTGGAGCGGATCGAGGTGATCGCCGAAGTCCCCCGGAACGGGTGAAAAACACCGGTTCCGAAGCAGATCCAAGTCTCGTCCATGGTCCATGGTTGGGACCAAAGATCATCCCAGGTTTGGGACCAAAAACGCGAAAAGCCCCCCCTCAATCGGCTGGGTGGAATCCACATGTAGGGCATGGCATCTGAGTGCCTTGGAGTTGTCCAAGTTCGGTTACACACGCAGGCACTAGACTCCTGGTGCTTGGAAAAAATCCCAGTCAAACCAACAACCGCGACTGGGAAGACTGTGCGGATTGAGATCTAGCAGTGGTACAAGCAAAGTCCAGGAACCCTGTTGTTCATCCTGTCCTTGCTGCTGCTCCTTCGTCCTTTGTGTTAAGGCAGCCTTTGCTTTCACCACGGCCTCCGGAGAAAGAAGCTTCTGACAAGCACGGACGCACGGCTCAGCTGTGCTTTAGCGTTGTTGCCAGCAAGGACAAACATATTCACGCGAAAATGAGGTCAGCTCCCTGAGCTCCCCCCCTTGTTGAGAGCCAATTGTAGCGCGTCAAAGAAATCCAAGGCCATCAGTCTTTATCAGTGTGGGGAGTCTCAGAGCCCGTCTTGCACCTACTCTCTAACCGGCTCAGCACCCTCACCGCGCTTGCCCCCCCCTTCAACCACCTCAGCACTGTCGCCCACCAGGTCACGCTCGGTGCCTGTGTAGCCTGTTCCAAGGCCTCGCTCTTCTCCGCGGTGAAGCTCTTGGCACCTTTCAAGGCCTCCTCGGCCGCCTGGTCGACTGAGACGCATGTCTGGTGGCTCCGGTCGGTCCGGTGGTCGGGTGCTGCGCAGTCCAGGCAGCTTTCTCTCAGTTGGAAGAAGTGGGTGGGCCCAAGCGTTCAAAACATGAGCACTTGGATTCCAATAGCACGTTTTCGAGCAGCTTTGGGGCATGGCATCCTGTCGCAAAGGGAAACCGGCAAAATCCTTAAGTGGATCCATTGGATTGAACAAAGCCGTCTCAAAGCAAGCCGGTTCGATCTGCAAAGCCTCCCAGCACACCATCCATCCGTTCCACCGAGAAAAAAGGAAGTTTGTGAACCTATACGCGCTTCGCTTGGGTATTGACCAAGTCCTTGGCCTTGGGGGCGACCAACTCTACTCAACCAGCGCTTGTTGGCACACAACGGAAGCCGCGATGTTGTGCTGATGGCTTGCCACGTCGAGTGCTCAATTTCCGGGCAACTTTGGGGAATAATTACCCCACTACGATAGTGAGACAATTCTATCAAGAAGGGCCTGTCACAACACAGACCATCAAGTAGGATGATTTATGTCCAAATTACATGGCATGGACGGTACATATCATCAAAACACCACAGAACAGGGGGAAGAACCCGCTCCTCAAGTCACCGCATGTCGTTCCCAGCCCCACCGAGCCAGGTACTTGGGAGTTCAGGGCTTTGGGCAAACACCAAAGCTCAATAAAGCGCCATGCGCGCAACAATAAACACACAAGATATGTGTTTACTGTGGATGTTTTGTGTTTTTCCAATTTTTCCATGTCTTTCCAGTGTGTCTGGCTTTAGTTGGCTCGGCTCAAGTTTTCAACAACAACACAAGATTGAGTTTTGATCCGGTCACCTATTGCCATGAGCGCCCCAATGAGTGTTGGGCAAATTAAAGAACTGATGACTACTGATGATCTATGATGATATACTCCATCCTACGACACTCACTGCACCTGGCACCCGTTCATCCCCAGTTAGGTCCAGGCCGTCCTGAAGCTTGCGTTCCAAGTCCTCCTTGGTCGCTTCTGCACCTCCACGGCTCCGTGCCGAAAAGGCGGCGGCGTCCGCCGTCCGCGAGATCCGAGGAACGGCTGGGCGCCCAGTATGTCAGACAGGGGTGGCCCAGTCCTTTTCTGTCTGCCTAAAACAATGTCCGCGTCGCAGTCAGGAGCATGATGTATAATGGAAACATATTAAAGCCTGGAGGTGCAAAAATCTTAGAAGCCGTAGAGGCCAACATCCATAAAACAAACACCTCTTGAGGCAAGAGGAGAGAATCGGGCACCTCAGAAAAGAAACAGTCACGACCTGGAAAAAGCGCTTCCACGACGATCGAATGGAACACGATCGTTGGGGGACAACAACCTCAACATGGCATCTCCAGAAACGGCAGCCTTACAACACCAGCTGGGAGATCGGAACACCCATTCTGATCGCCCCAGCGCAATCAGAAACGACACCATTTTGGGATACCACCACCTTGAGGGGATAACCCTTTTGGCCATGCACTAATAAACGTACCACGAGCGGCGCCAACAAAGAACTGCTGCAATCGCCCCAAACATGAGACAAATGATCCACTACCTGATATGGTGGGGCTGTTTAAGTTTTGAATCAGTCTCTCATGGGAGGCGCCAACGGAAACCCTGCACTGGGAAACCAAACGTTGGCTAGAAAAACTAGAAAACCACATGCTGGAAACACGCTGTGACGCTGCATTAACCACAGCCCAAACACCATGAGCAGCGCATCTTCCCCTGTCACGCGTTCCGATGCTCATCTCAAAAAAGACATGGATTCATGGATCCTCTCAACGCCCAAAACGTGACTATAGAACTTCAAGAAACCTCCGCTCTTCTGACGCCGCTGAGAGGCTCGGGTTCTTCTGTGATTGGTCGCGAGCGAATGGGGACTCCGTCCAGTCTGATGTTGGTGTGGCATCACTCAGGTACCTCGGTGACCACAACCAAACCAGCTTCCTCACAACAGAAAATCCTAAGTGACCCAGAATAGACCAGCTTCCTCGTGCCGAGTCGGATCGGTCCAGCCCCAGGTATCTCTGTGGTGAGCATTTTTTTCTGCCTCTGAAAACACGGAAAGCTCCTTGCGTCGACACCTGTGAAGCGCGGCACCTGCCACCTTCTCGTTCTCTTGGTCCAAGGCCACTTGAAGCCCTCCCAGAATCCTTAGGGGGGTCGTTGCTGCGAAAGCCGAACGCAGCGAGTGAAGCAGAACCGTCGGTCCACGGTCGGTCCACCCCGCATGGAGTGTTCAAATCTGCTACTCTTGAAGCATGTTCACTGTTCATCCACGGAATTGATCCAAATACAAGATCTACTGGACCGTCCGGAGTACAACAGAAGTCCGTACTGGGTGAGAGACCGTACTGGGGCAGCTGAAGCTGTTCTCTACTTGTTCCAGTCCCGCCGCGTCCTGGCTTGTGCCAGCAAACCTGCTGAGTGGAAGGCATGCGGATTGGCGAAAATCTTGGATTGGCGGAGTTGAGTCAGTGGAGGAGCACCCCCATTCGAGCAACTGAGCCACTAACTGAGCCATTCACTAGGATCAAATAGGATCAAACCCTCTGGGCTAGGGAGGGCCAGGGTTTTACGCCCTCCTTTCAAGAGTAGCGACAGCTCCGGGATAAAACACAAATTGGGACCCTTGGAGTCGCTTGGAGCGGTGACTTGGAGTCGCTTGAAAACAGTTCAAGCGACTCCAAGGATCAAAAGGCTACAGCATCGCCTCTAGCGTCTGCCTCGAGGTGGTCACCCTGAGAAAGTTGGACCGTTGGACCTCGTGGTGGGTTTCACCCATTTCACACCCGACCCCATGTGTTTCGTAACCGTGGAAGGCCTTCGTCACACCTTCGGAAGACACCGGCCAGGAGTGTTCGAAATCGGCCAGGCTCCGCAACATCCCCGTGGAACTAGGTACAGGTAACTAGGCGTATACAATGCCCAGTGGAACTGGGTTGGCCAGTGGTGCTCAAAACATACCCCCATTACGGCCACAAGACTGCATGTGTTTGCTTTGCGTGCAGCAACGCGACTGGGAGGCCAAGGGGCTTCGACATGGCCTGGCAAGTCTCTGACATCAGTGAGTGAAGTTTCAAGAAAAACAATCCGTGAGTGGAGTTTCTGGTGCAATGAGTGAAGCTTCACAGCCACCCCGCGCATTATGTTTCTGCTGCAGGCACTCCTTTTTCCTGCCCTGGGCAACTTGATGCAGCCCTGGGCGGTTTGAGAAACCTTGAAAGAGTTTGATGACCGGCCAAGCGATGCCAAAAGGACCGGGCGCCGATACACAGTTAGTGGTGAAACAGTGCAGCTGGGCAAAGTATCAAAGTCTCTTGGCTTCGGCGGTCTGAGAGCAACTGCTAATTAACAACTATGGTGTCTTTAATGCAGCGGTCTGAGCGCTAATTAGTTCCTCCTCGTGGCCAAGTCCACAGTGACAGGCACTAGGCTGGTGTTGCTATTCTTGAACATGCAATCCTCTGCATACATGGCTTACAAATACTTACAATGCCTTCATTTCGGCAACCCTGACCAGAAGCTCATTCCTCATCAGCATGTCTGTGATCTTGCATGATCGAACTACTGCCACCACAGGAGGCCGGGCCCGCCAGGCAGGGCCCGTCCCGCGAACGCGCCGAGGCATACGGCGCCACAATCACAACCCCAGCGATTGTGACCAGTTAGAACTGACCTCAGTCCTACCAGCCGAACTGATTGGTGCGACTCGGCAGGAATGAGGGTGGATCCAAAGGAGTTTTCGGTGGTGAGCTTCTTCCCTCCATACCCCTACTTTCGTCGCACCAGTCAGCCGCAGTCCGCCAAGCTCGCGCCGGAGAAAAATCCCCAAGTCGCGTCGGCCCGAAGACACGGCATGGCTTCGGCATGGCTGGTGGAACCGGAAGATCGAGTGCGTACAGCAGCATACCGGACCGAGCAAACTGTGTGCGAGCTCAAGCTGATCTGAAGCATGTGAGCTGACAGCCAATTGGGCTGGGCAGGAGTGGAAGACTGTTGGCAGGGATATGTAAGGCATTGGGAGTGTACAACCTCTTCATGTCAATCAAGGTTCAAATACATCATCACATATACGATCATATACACAGGAGAAGCCAGCTACTTGCGCCAGGTAACAGCTTTGAAACAATGCATCGGGGGGGGACGGCGGATACATGCACATACTTGCACAATGTACCTGATACTCTGCACTACCCTACAACATCCCTCTAGGCAAGCCCAACATCCAGGTTCTGGGAAAAAAACACTTCGTCTCACAGGCGTCTCTTTGACGGTGTCTCGCTGCCGCTGCTCCAAGTGAGCGAAGCCCGATGCGCCCGAAACGCGGGGGGGCGTTTGAGGGTCCAAACCTACACGAATGCTCGCAAGCAGCTTGAATCCGTCGATGAAGAGTCTATCTTCATGGGCTCGAACCACACCAACATCCGGAGATTGCCTTCTTGGACAGTGAATGAAAAGAAAACTCCATGAAAACTCGACCCACAGAATGTACTGGACATGGTTGGTATGTCATGGTTGATCATTCTTTCGGTGGTCTGCTTTCGGGTTCAGTCCCAAGAGGCGCCACAGGCCCAGGCCGAACTCCAAATCATCTGACAGACGTCCAAGAGGAAAGAAGAGGAAGCCCAAGGCTGCACACAACAACTCTGCCCCGGCCCGATGGTTCGCTCCCCGGGTCACTTCGGCCGAACTCAACAGCCGGCGCCCGCCAAGGACAATGCCTGGCACCGGCGACACACGGTGGCACCGGTGATGACGACGGTCCACTTCGGAAGGTGAGTCCAACATGGTCAAAACCAAGCCAACTGATAACATATGCTTTAAAACATGTCCAGTCATGCAAATTATCTTATAAAACAAGCACCCAGCAAAACATTAATAATACTATATCATCTGCTAGTCTGCTACCTTGATTCGTCCTCTGTCCGTATCTGCTTAGGGAATTCTCCAGTGGCATTCAGTGGGTGGGAAGTAGGTCAGCGCAGGCATCACCTTCGGTCAGGCGTGCCAAGTGCCAAATCGAGTCTAATCCGTTGGCTTCGAACGACGGATGCGGCTGAACCCTCCGCCGCATCCAATCACCTGATCCATCCGCCCTGCAAGGACCTCCCCGACCGGTGGACCAAGAGCGTCAGACTCCGTCGCGGCGAATCGGATGGCATTGGGTGCAAACCAAAGGGCTTGGGTGCAAGAAAACCATGAACCTAGCACTAAGGGTGGGGACCAGGCTTTCTGAATTAAGGTCCACGAACAACTGGACGAACTCCACGGCCGTGCCGTGACCCGTGGTGGGCGCTTGCCACGCGCCCACGGCGGCGCCCGGTGCGGCACGGGCGGTTACGCCGTGCGGTTCACCGACTGGCGGGCTTCGGTCGTCCGGATCGGACCTTCAACGGTGGCCGAAGAAAAGAAGGTGTCAAAAGGGGAAAAAAACAAACAATCAAAAAACCGGAACCAAGAATGAGATACAAAGATCACACTCCTGCTTACAGGGAACAAAGGGGGCCCCCACCTCACCACAATTGATATAAATTTATGATCATTTACACTCCCGAAAACTCACAGTCACATGGACATATGGACCCTGAGAATGGCCCCCCTGGAGACCCTGGAAGATTGTTTTCCTCTACCAACCATTGTAACCATTGTCCAGGTGTGCGGCGGCATTTATTTGGTACTAAACTCAAATACACTATCTATTATGTGGGGGCCCTATCTCGTTTAGACTACTTAAGTAGGAGGTCATGTCACAGTAATTATCTCGTTCAGACTACTTTAGTAGCAAATCACACTGTCTCGTTTGGACTACTTTAGTGATCTTTAGTGTCATCAAACAAAAGTATCTCGTTTTTGTGGGGGGCCCTATCTCGTTCACAAGCAAATACTGATGATAGACAAGCAAATAGAGCATGCCGTAGACTACAGTACAGTACTCTAGTAAAGCTTAAATAAAAGCGGTTGCTCAGGTGCTTGGTGCCCGGTGATTTTCTCAACGTCGCAGTGGCTCGGCGCCTCGGCCACCTTCATGTGCATGGCCTCAGCGGCGAACGGGAACCGATCTCGGCCCCTGCAGGAAATTTCCAAGCTGGATGAAACGTCCATGTCTTTTTTGATAGATCCGTTCAAAGACCCCAAAAAAAAAGATACTGGGAAGCATTGGGAAGCTGGATGAAGCTGGTCTGTTTTCAGCATCACACACATACCATACCACCTCCCCGGCCCGTCACGCCCGTCCGTGCCGGGCGACGAAGCGGATCCTGCCTTTCAGATCAACCCAACTCGAAGCACGAGTAGGGCTGAGTGATCTGAGTGAGTTGGTTAAGGGTCTTAGTTGATCTGATTGAGGATCCCAGAAGTAGCAGGGGCTTGTGGCAGCAGTGATGCATACAGCACCACCACTGCAATCCATGAGTATCCCAGAAAATCCAACATAAACCATGCTGATCTTGCTGATCTTGAATCTGCCAAGGGGGCCACCCTGGGAGACGGAAGACGTGGTCAAAAAGCTGGGATGGAAGGTCTTTCACTGATTCTATTCTATTGGAATGCGCCAAAGAATTAAACACTCACTTCAAGACTTACAGTATCCAGAATACCTGCCAAATGAACTCCGAAAACCAGAACTTCCACGTCGACCACCGTCCCTCATCTGCCGTGGACACGTCGCTCGTAGCTTGCCAAGCCACGTCCGAGAGCTTGCTGAGATAAGCCTGCTTCTTCCTTGGATGGTAACGTCCAATGGCGGGGTTCCCCCGACGTTGATCTCCGGGCAGAAAAAATCAACAGACGGGCTGCCGATCAGTTGGGGTGGTGCCAGAGGGGTCAATGTAGGCATATATGGCAGTCCCATGGAGTGTCTGGGATAAATACTTCCCAGGTCACAAGATTGCATGATGACGATTACAATATGTGATTGCTCAAGTTGCTAAAGGATCTTGGCCAAAAGCAGTGATGAGCTTAACCAACTGTTCATAGACAGGTCCAACCAAGTACTTCACACGCAACACACTGCAGTTTCTGAGCAACGCCTATAAACCAAATGCAAGTCCTCGTTATACTAAATATTGCTAAATATCTAAATACCTCACATGCGATGCATGCAATTAATTTTACCTTCAACATCGACGCTATTGAATGGGCACCCACTTCCTGAAACCCAACATCCAACGGAGCTCCTATGCCCAACCATCGATGAGTTGACAAGGGTTTTTTTTTCAACGTTTCTGGCAGCATTTCCAGGGGATACCCAGCTGTGAACACCTGAAGGGTTGCCAAAAGTAGACCGGGATTGAGCCTGGAGTCGTGATGGGGGCAAATATTGTCGCCCAAATTCCCAAGAGTGGGTATTTCGGGCATCCTGTATTGCAAATCATCATCTACTTGGGCCACCTACCACCGATGAGCAAAAACAGCAAAACTTGCTGGTCAGCTGGTCCCAGGTGCTTGCTCGACTTCAACTTGTTCAACTCTTCCACGTGCTTCATGACTGCCGTCGGCTTCCTTGGGGTGATACACCAAGAGGCAGCCAACCCGACCAGCTTCCCATGGACGACCAAACTCACATTCCCCAGACCATCTATGCATGGAATAGTTACATAACATACATTGTCCCTAGGGCTCCAGTCGTACCTTCGTTTCGAAGGTGGGACATTTCATTTACTGGGGTGGGTGCCAGGAGGGTCCAAAAACCTTCTGAGGAGGTACGACTGGAGCGCTACTGTAGGGTATCATATCTTATCATACATGTTACCCCATGTGAGACCCCGCTGAGGCCGCAGGTCACTCTTCCATGACATCTCGATGCACGGACACACACATACTTTGGGGCTCCGGGTGGGAACTCGAAACGAAGCGTCGAAGAAGGACATGATCTCCGGTGGGGACTCGAAACTCTAGGTACCCTCCCTCCAGCTGCCCATGTTCCAGAGGATATGTCCCATGTGAATAGAGGACCATGCCCCCCCAGTGCAATCGAGCATTCCCATTGCTCGATCCTCGAAACATCGGGGTTTCCCTCCACGACGGCACTGGGCCGCAGAGCATC